TTTATTTTATTTTATTTTATTTTATTTTATTTTATTTTATTTTATTTATTTTATTTTATTTTATTTTATTTTATTTTATTTTATTTATAGGTGCTCCCAGGTCACAAACGCTTCATGTGGGCATTGGAGAGCAATTTCCATGATTTCATATCCGAGCGTACGGGCTGTAATGGCGCGTCGATCGTGTTGCATCCTGTTGTGCGCGAATGCGATGATTGAACCGCGGCGTTGGTGTATTAGATTTAAGTGACTTGTGTAAAAATACGTAATTTTTAGTAATAAGTTTTATATAAATGTGTACTATTTCTTATTTCTGGTCAATTTTTTCTACTACTAATTTCTAGTTTCTGCTTCCTTTCTCGTATTTCTACAAACGTCCTTTTCTGACTACATTTTCATTTTAATACCTTTTTCTATTTCTTTTTTCAACTTGTCTCATATCATTCCTTACTTCCTTCCAAATTTTATGTACTTGAGTAACATATTTTTCTTTCTACTATTTTTATTCTACTCCTTTTTTTTTATTTTTTTTAATCCGGTTTCTATTTGTTTTCAACTCCTTCTCTTTCACTAATATTGTTTTTTTTTTAAATAAGTTCCACAAATTTTATGGTTTCTACTGCTTTTTATCTGACTTGTATAGCAACAAATGCGTTCGTAATTTTACAGAAATTTGTATACGAGTTTTGTATAAATGTGCGCTCCTTTACTTCCGGTCATTTTTATCTACTACTATTTTTCAATATTTTTAACTTCTGGTTTATGATTTCTACTACAATCTCTTGTCAAATTCTAACACTTTTATTCTACGTCTTTATAATTTATTCTAACTTTCCAACTGTTTTTGTTTTTTGTAGCTTTTTACTGCAACCTCCTTTTAAAATCTACTACCTTTCTTCTAAGTCTTTATACTTTATTCTGGATTCTAAATTTCGAAACTGTTTGGTACAGCGTTTTACTTTTCGTACATTTTTCTACTACTATTTTTTTTATTTATACTACCTTTCTTTTACCTCCGCCTCATCGTTTAGCTCGAATTTTAACTTTCGCAACTGGTTTTGAATTTTTTTAACGAGTGCGTAATTTTTCTACCACTTCCTTAAATTCAACTACCTACAACCGGTTACAATTCTAACTGTCACCAATTGTTTTGTGTTCGGATTGCTATTAAAATTTTTACTTATTTTTAACTTTCTGCTACAGTCTTTGAGTAACTACATATTTTGGTCTCTGGGTTAATTTCAACTTTTGCGTTGATTTTCTCTTACTGCCACAACTTGCACACATATCTAATTTTATTATATTCGTGACTTCAAGTTTTTTACTACCATTAACGGTTTATTAAAAAATCGAGTACTTTTTATTCAGATAAAAAGAACTTTGAGTTTGCTACTGCCGTTTAAGTATCAACTACTTTTCTTAAATTACTACTACTATTTTATACTATGCCTTTTTGGTTGAGATACAGTTCCTACACATTTTTACCAAAAGTTTTAAATTTCGCACTTTCAGCTATTTTTTTTGCTAAACTTTTCTAGATCTACTAAAGCATGTACAAATCTCGCACTTTCAGCTAATTCTCAATTTTTGCTACATTTTTCTAATTTTACTGCACTTTTGTTTCTATTTTTCTTTTGTATTCAATGCGCTTTTCTTATTTCCATTTTAAGGCTTTACTTCTTTTTCTGTATTTCTTTCAGTTTAATTTAAATATTTTGCTACTACATACTTATGTTCTCCCAACTACTTTTTTTCTTTCAAAAATATTTTTACCATTTTTCTTTAATTCAACTTCTTCACTATTTTATTCTTCTTGAATTAGTTTCCAACTTATTTTATGACTTCTGGTACTTTTTACCTTTCCACTAACTTTTCAAATTTTCTACTACTTTCTTCACTTTTTCAGTTTCTATATTTCTACTCAATGCCATCACTTTTATCTGCCTTCTTCTTACTATTATTGGTTTTTACACAAAAACAATGCTTTTTATTGAATAAAAATTCAACTGGAAATTCAGTTTTCAAACCTACAAACCAAATGTGCTTTTATTTCTCTCCATTATTCATTATTTTTTTTTTCACATTCACTTCATCCTTCATGCGCACGCAGCTCCATCGAACGAGGTACCGTCCGGACATTTAAATAGCACTGGCTGCAACCTCCCATCACTTCCACTAGCCTGACATGTATAAAATATGCGCGAATCGCCGGGCCAGGCGCCCTGATCACCCACGGCTGTGCAACGAAATGCGGGATCATAACACACTACATTAGAGGACAATGCACACGATTGCATTTGTAGGGAGTAACGTTGACGTGAACCACATTTATAACGCGTATACGTGCCGCCACTCTGACATTGATAGTAGTTTCGACAATTGTATGGATCAGGAAAGTAGCCAGGCGTTTGACATTGGAAAATAGTAGTGGCAGCAGTAGATCCTTGACCTTTATGCCGGTGCCTCGCCTGTACGAAGGAGTGTGTGCAGGTGGTAAGCAGAAACTGGAGTAGAAATTTTAAGTGCACTTATGTAATTCATAGTCGTGTATGTTTGAAATATTTTTTAAGTATTTAAATACTTATTTTTATGCAAAAAAAAAATACATACCCATAGCCAGAGTGTTAAATATAAAGTATTGCCCATTTTTTACCGGGGGATCTGCGTGTATTTCAAACAAATTACAAAGTTTTACTAATGTTACTTATTTAAGCCCGACGCCAAGTACTTTCTTTTTAAAGTTTTTGGAACTCGCAATTCGTATCCAATGTTACTTTTATCTCAACAAGAATGCCAGATTAAGAAATCGCACAACTAGTACCTTTCGCTACTTAATTAATTTTGAAACATATCTATCTACCTACATTTGTACTCCCAATAGCGATAGACGCGATTACAGTAGTTCAAGGCTTCGCCGCGGAAGATACTGTGAAAACCGTGAAAACTACTACTCCTAGAGAGCCAGGTATTAAAAAGTTGTATGCACTGCGACTCAATGGATATATTGTGCTACTATTCAAAACACTTCGTCTCATCCTATATTTTTCAGAAAATTTAGTAAAGCTTGTGGGGATGCTCATTCTTTGGCCACATAGAGTCTTGAAGCGGTCTCACACTCAAGGAATATGCTGAGACCCAAAGTCAAGGGAGTTTTTTAACTATATCCCTTACTTATACAGTTGTCTTCTTACTCGGCAGTTTGCTGATAAGGATTCTTGTTATAAAGTGTAGTTTCTCTTTAAGGTGGTAAATTAGAAGTCTAGGTCTCTTCAGATTGTACATCCGAATAACCTTTTGGTTTGGTGAAGTCCTGTGATGCTTCGCCAATGTCGTTCTGTCAGTCTCATTACCTACTGCTAGGAATAGCTTAAGCACTATATGTAGAAGTTTAGGTCACTGCCTTCTTGGCTAATACGTTCGCTTCCTCGTGGTATCTCCCTAGCTCTTATAACCTGATTCTCAAAGCAGTCGGATATCATTATGTTCAAAAAGAGCGTTAAATTTTCCAATGCACTCTATAACTAGAGAGGATTTAACCACTAGATAGTACCCCACCGCTTGAAAATTGTTCGTCAATTTTCCTATAGGTACAGATAGTCCCATCCTGGGCTCACAGATGCCTGCTTCATTACCTGATGGTGTTTTAGAGTTTTCGTAGGTCTGGTTTAAAATCTTGTATTAGACTACGATACTTCACAGTACGTAGCGACGTTGACAATGACCTCACTTAAAGTTATGTACATATATTCCTCCTACCTGAAATAATAATTCTTCTAGTAAAGGTATTAAGAGCCACTCTGACGGATAAGCCTTTCATTAAGTTTAGATCCCTTTGTAGATTAACGCAGAGCGGGCTCTCGAACTCTTCTCTGACAATTATAACCTATCATCCGCATATCCCTGTCAGTGTAGAGAGAATATTTTTAAAAGATTCATCAGTACAAGGCTCCACATAAGAGGTAACACTATAGCTCCTTGTGGGCATTCCTTTGTTGTTTGTAATTGCAATTCTTGGTTGAAGCAGCTTAGCATTTCTTTTCTCTTAGCTCTGGTTTGTACATTGCAAACAGACTCGTACCCAACCAAATTAAGATTCTAGCTTAAAGTCGCGAAAAATCAGCTGCTCTGGTAACACCACCTCACTTGTATATGAATTAAAGAGTGCATTGCGCTGAAATACTAGTAGGATTTGGGGTCTTCGCTGATATTGCAGTCTTTAAAATACGATAACAGAACTTCGACCCCATTCGCTAATCAGGCAAAAGCTTTGGCGCGGTAGCGTTATCTAAAAAAAACAACGATAAAAAGTCAATGATGTAACTCTAATGCGGCTGAAAATAAAAACAAATAACCTTGTCACAATTAATTATCAATAGCTAAAATTCTATATTGATTCATGTTATCATTAATATGCAAAATTTTAATTATAATTATAGTCATGGCCATTATTTATGTCCTCGTACAATCACCACTGCTGTCACAACTACCGATCATGCAAGCTTTTCTATCATCGCTAAAGCAAGTTCCCGTTGGGCAAGTATACGTTCTAATCGCACCCTTAAGGCATTTATAGTAATTCCTGCAATTGCTTTTGGCCTTTTTCAATAAGTTATCCACACAAGTGCCGCGCGTACTGGTGGTTGAAGTTGCCGTTGATGCTGATGCCGTACTAACACAACCATTCATTGGATTCTGAGTATTGCACGTTAAGTCAGTTGCACAATTTATTAATATTTCGCCAGTTGATTGTGCATCGGTCTCCAAGCAGATTCCCACATTTAGATCCGTGCGACAAATAAAATCCACACTGGAATCTGAACAAGTTTGCGAGGCCACAAGTGAGAAGGCGCAGCACTGTGGGGTAGAATTTTTTTTATTATAAATACTACTAATTTGTCAGTGGTTAATCAATATTTTATTCTGTTACGTACCGTTACAAATACAAAACACCAAAATTTCATTTTTGCTTATTGTTTTAGAGTTTGGCAAATATTTAACAAATTTTTATTTTTTTAATTCAAAGCGGTTTAACAATTGACTGAACTCCTAAGGAAACGAATTTGGTTTATATACTCAGCCACCCAAGGGCAATAATTATTAGCATTGATAAAATTATGCGAAATATATTTGATAATATTATCTTTTATATTAGGATTTAATTATAGACTTTTTTTATTTGCAAATAAAATAATGATAAAGTGCAACATATTCAAAATTGGTTCAGGGTCGTAATTTGCTAATGAGTTCGTCGAATCTATACACACAAACTGATACCCATTTAAGCTTACATATGAACATACATATAATCGAATGGATAAACTTAATTTACGTCGCTGTCTTTTCACTAAAAGAAATGATTAAAAAGGCTTTTTAAGCATCAGAATGTTTTTGGTTCTTTTGGTCAGCTCGTCTTTAGGAAAACATTTTTTGTATTATTAATATCAAAGCTTTCTATTGTGAGACACTCAATATAAGGGTTAAGATTAGTACAGACTGGTCCGTATGTCTTTAACGCACGACCGAGAGGTGCCAACGCCGTCACTACTGAAGCACTGAAGCAGAAGGTAAACTGAAAACCGCCGCTGTCTCGGAGGGTACAGCACTCAGGAGCATCTTATCCGGTTCAGACCGCGGAACGTCAAGCTGCTTGATGAAGTCTGATGTTTCTTTGACTGAGACGATGGAGCAGAACCTCGGCCTTCTTTGAAAATACACTTTCTTTCGTACAAACCACTTAGGGCCAGTGGTCAACTTCCTAACAAGGATCTGATCACCCTAGACGAGGTCATATAGACAAAAGGGACTTTTTACACATACAAATCAACAGGTCGCGATGGTCTCGCAGCGATGCAAATGCATAAATCAATAGAGTACAGGTCGAACTGGCTGCATAAAATTATCTGACGAGTTCTCATATTTAACCACATCCCTAAGCGCTAGATGGGATCAGATATGGTCATTATACCCAAGGCGGAAAAGACTTCGCCTATCATCCAAATTAGTCTGTCTTGAGTATCGCTTGTTGAAAAGTCGCTAGCCTTATACATATACATCCGCTGATAGCATTCCTAGATATTGAAAACGTAGTTAATAACATACTTTTTACCCGATACAATTACCATGTCACTAACGGACCTAGGCATGGATCGCTCGTTGGTGACAATCGTGAACCAAATGTTGACATACAGGGTGACTGTGAACGCAACTTACTTCGCTTAGTAGATCTGCTGGAACGGGCACGGTGCAGGGCGGTGTCTTGTCTCCTCTTCTGTATGTATCAACTTTATACCCTTTGCTGCGCTCGCTGAGCCGACTGTAATCCCATTTATCCAGTAGCAGGCCACAGTTTTCCAACGAAGCTCCTATGCCCTCCCTGTCCAAGGTGATGGCCTCGAGGGTACCCTGCCTATCCAATTCATTAATTTCCAGTGATGTAACTATGTCCTGGAACCCAAATTAGCTTGATTTGAAGATATTCCGAGGCACTTGAGAGAAAGGACAGGCATTCCACCAGCACTCTGATTGCTGCTGGACTATCAGAGTAGATATTTTCCACCCTTTCCCCCGGCTAAAAGTTAATGAGCAGCTAATCGGCTTCCGCTTTAACAGCGGCCACCTATGCCTGAGAGGCGCTGCAGAAATCTGGCAGTCTGATCATAAGATCTGTTGAGAGTTCCAGACACTAGACACCTGCACCGACTCTCCCGCCCAGCTTCGACACGCCCGTGAAGATGTTTATCGTACCTTTATTTCAGAGACTGCCAATCCAATCTTTCAGATAGGAAGTCGAATCTTTTTAGAATCGTCAAGGGCCCGTACGCTTGTTTTAAAGAGAACCCAGAGCTTTTGAGCCGAATGGTTGAGCGAACCGGCGCTAGTTTGCCCGCAATGTCAACAGGTGCGACGCTGAGCATACCGTTTAGAGCGCTGAATTTGGAGTGGTTGGGAGCGTTCCGCTGATTCCAACGAGTACCGTCCTTTGCACGCGCTCTAGCTTTCTAACAAGAATAGACCCTCTGTAACATGATTGGCTTCATTATGGTTTTTTTTTGTCGTTTGGAGAAAGGCCCTGTATTTTCTCATGGCATTTTTAAGGCACTAAAGGGCGACCGATGTCTTCTCAATATTTGGCTTCCACGACAACTTCCTGTCCAGGATCACGCCCAAGAACTTGACCCTGTCAGAGCGAACAAAGGAAACACCCCCTATTTAGGGAAGCTGGACATGAATATATATATATATATATATACCTCATGGTGAATAGTACGAGCTCCATGTTTCCAGAACTTATAGCATGTCCACAGCTAGCAGACAAATTTGTGACCAAGTTCAGGTACCCTTGCATAAGATCATACAGAGAACTTTCCTCTGACGATGACTGCAACTCCGTCCGCGTATGCAAAAACCTTGCACTCTCTCCTTTCCAGCACTTGCAGGACGTCGTTTATCACGACTATACCGAGAAAGGGTGAAGGTACGCCTTCCTCCGGGAAGCCTGTGCTTACTTTACGCTGTTGAGAGGCATTCTGCTTTTACAGTTCTGTCCTGCAGCAGACGAGAGATGAGCCTAAGTAAGTATCCCTCGACTCCGAGCTTAGTCAGGGCTCTTACTATGAAAGCCCCCTCAAATCAAGGGAGGCTCAACTCCTCGCGTGGATTCGCCTAAATCGAGATGATGCATGATAACTTTCTACAGTTTCGCAGAAGTTTCCCCTTGACAAATTTTTGGCCTTTCTTAACTCGGACGTATTGATACCCAGTCCGATCTTTTAGAGTTCCCAGTCGGAGTGTTGTCCACTTCACCTGGCTTTGTGGCGAGTTTTCTGAGTTAGGACCTTTTCGGACTGGCTGCCGAGGAAAGTCCATCATCCACTCAACCATCGATATGGAAGTAAAGCCAGCGGACCTGGAGGTGAGCGATGGAAACGCAAAGTATCTCCTATCAGCAAGCAAGGCTTCCTCTGCGTTGAAAAGATCAGGCGGATAGGAACTAGGCTTCACTTGACATTTCCATTTTGCGGTAGCCGGCGTAGAAGGGAAAATAATGGCGTACTTTATTGGACTAGGCCAAAATCGCTTAGGCAGTTAAAGCGCAAACCAAGCAGAAGAAAAATATGAAAACTCAGCTAATGATTTATTGACTCTTGAGAAGTTCTCAGATATTCGGCTGTGCGTAAATATTAGTTTATGTGCTTAATATATTTACAGCACTTAGAGACACCGTTCATGACTTCAAAGGTAATTTATTGCCAATAAAGAATCTCTTATTTACAGAATTAAGTAAAAATACATATTTCACTAAGTAAACATTGGCCACTATTTGTTGTTTACATGAAAAATGGAGCTAAGCATTGCGAAACTTTTGGTAAGTAATTTGGCCAAAATCAACATTTACAGGCATTTGAAAGTTGCTATATAGATTTCTCTAGCTACTTCTACATTAGACTGCTTGCGGTATGCTGATAGCGTTTAAAAAAGTTAATAGTTAAAGAGCATGACGAATCTGCTTCATATGCACAAAGGTATTTGTGTACACTGCGTGACAAATGGAAGTGTACACCTGGTTCTAAAATAATATTCACAATTATTTTCATGAACAATTTTTTGCGTTTGCTATTTATGAAAATATAGCTCATTCCGTAATATAAATCCTATTAATCCAAATTTCACAAAATTTAAAAAATGTTCATCAAAATTTTAAAATTTTAATTCAGAATTTCTTGAAAATTTTCGCATGATCCAAATCTATTTTTACCGACTTGAAACATGGGCTACAAAACTGCATACTCGAAAATTTTACAGAAATTCTGAGTTAAAAGTTCTTGAAAATTTTTTTATTTTTGTAAAATTTATATAAAGTGTGAAACTTTGATTCATATGGTTTATATTATAGAATGAACTATATTTGCATAAATAATTAATACAAAAAATGTTTCATGAAAATAATTGTGAATATTATATTAGAACAAGGCGTACACTTTCATTTGTCGCCTAGTGTATGTACTGTATGATACAATTATCAATCAAAATAAGATGACACATTTTTGCGGTATCGAGCTTTTATTTGGGATGCTTGAAAGAAGTTTTATCAGAATAGTGAAAGACTTTGATGTTAACAGAACGAATTCTTAGTAACTGTTACTGAGTTCGAGAAACATATTTTTATAATTGATAAAGTTCTAATTTGTGATACGTACAATTTATAGCAGAGACAAAGTGTGCATGAGTTGTTATTTTAAAGGCGAAAAGAGGAAATCGTGCGCAAATTTTGCTTTTCTAAATACAAGCGCAAAATCTGAAAAACAATAATAATAACTTTGATTTTAAAAACAAGATCATGAGTAGTGCACATTCATTAATTTTGGTAAGCACCATACGTGGCAAGAGATATAAATTATCGCATACATACCCTGTCGGAAATTCACGCACTAAAAAATTATTTGTGAAAGAGACGTGAAATGTACTCTCCTTCTATGAAATATCACTTAGAAAAAGGATTCATAAAAATATTATATTCAATTGCCAGCAGGGGAAAAACGCACTAGCAAAATACCATAACTGTTATGTGAGACCTCTAAAAGTATAAAAAACTTAAAAAAGACCAAACCGCTAAGCTGGGTTCACTCAAGAGGCCTGATAGTTCCTTCAGGGAGACCAGAAGTGAGGCTTTTACATTTATTTTGGAGACTCATTTCCCTGGAAATCGGGTGTTGGCTACGCATTACAGCATTTTAGTGGCACTCACAACTACCAGAGTCAGGATATAGCGATATTTGCTGACAGCTAGGCGGTTGTTAATGACCTCAGATCTTATCAGGTAACCTCTAATTTGGTGATGGAGTGCCTTCAAAAGCTAAATATCCTTGGTCTGATCAGTCGACTTTGGGTTCTTTGGATTCCTGGACATATTGGTATTGAAAGAAACGACATTTCCGATGATAAACTTGCGAATATGGGAACCCCTTTCATCGGCCCAGAGCCCTCCTGTGACATAATAGCTTAAGGTCCCAGTGCTTTATCCTTAATAATTATAATAATGGGTCACATTTCCCTCCCTCGACAGGAGAGGAGATGTTATGCAACTGAATCTTTAGATAGCTTCAAATCGCCCGGTCCGGATGGTATCCTAACTTTTGTACTTAGCAAATGTGGTGAGCTTCTGGTCGAGATGTACCACAATCATGGAGACTTATAGACGACGCTTTTATCCCCAAAGTTGGTAAAGGCGCGGCAATCTTGTGAGACGGCTCTGCAAATCCAAAATAAGCAACGTCATCACTAGGAAAGAATTCGCTTTGGGCATTTTCGTACGCATTGAGAATGCTTTTGGCAATGCCAACTTCGGTGCTGGTAAATTGTATACGTTCAATGCTCGCGCAGTGGGTCATTCGGATTAGGCAGAAGGCGATCAATATGTCAGGAGCGGAGTTCATAGAGGCTGTTCTCAGGGCAGTGTGCTTTCTCCCTTGCTCTGTTGCTTGATAACTTATTGCCTGCTGGTCAAACTTAACGGCTCTAATGTCTACGTCAAAGTCTACAGAGGTGATGTGGCCTGCCTCACTACAGTCTCTTCCCTGTCAATTGTTTGCACTGACATCTGATGTAGTGAGAATGGACTGTCCGCTAACCCAACCAAAACTAGTGTTGTGGCCTTCACTTTTAGGAGAAGGTTGGACGGCCTTGTTCTTCTTGGCCTTGAAGGAGTCATTATTCAGATTTCTTCGAAAGTAAAGTATTTACGTGTAATCCTAGATGGTTAACGTTTGTGGAAAATAAGTGGATATGAAGGAGTTTACGTATATGTAGCGACAGTCAAACTGCACACAAGGCATTGGTCAGCCCTCAAACTACTTTAACTCGACTAAATTGTATTGGAAAACATAACGAACTTGTTTTACGCTGGGTTCCTAGGAAAACTTAATAAAAACTCATCTGACCATTTGGCGAGATCGACATCCGAATCAGCAACTGGATGAATATTTCGCTCAGCAATGACTAGGAAGCTTTCCAAAAGATTAAATATCAGGAATCCCGAAAAAATTATTGAATAAAACCGGAATGATTCTGAAAAATCCAAAACAACAGGAAATAATTTGAAACGGTCCGGATACATTCCGAACTGTTCCACACAAATTTTCCAAACGGATCAGGAATCGCGATGATTTCCGAAAAAAAACGCGAAAGGTTTCGAAAAATTCCCAAACATTCCCAAAAATAAAACGAGAAGAATGCAGAAAACTCATTAAAATAACAGCTTATAGCTCAATAAAATTGCTGAATATGAATTATTATTAGGCCACAAGTAACAAATAACAAAAACGAAAACTCCCAAAAATATTCCGAACGATCTTAAAACATCCTGAAACATAGCAAAAAAAACTTTGAAAAGTGCCGAAATATAAAAAACTAGAAACTCCGAAAAATCGTGAAAAAACTTGAAGAAATCCTTAAAGGTCCCGAAAAATCCCGGAGGATTCCGAAAAATAAAACACCGGCAATACCGAAAAGTCGCAAAATAATATCTTTTATTTTAGCCAAAAAATTAAATTATGAAAGTCAAAGTTTTAAAAGATTAGGGAGAATCTCGTTCTGCATTGAGAGTAGATTCTTACAGTATTTTCAAAAAAAAAAAACAGTTTACCAATTTTAACACTGTGTATGTACATTAGGGTGTATCACACTCCGTACAAAAAATCGGTACTTTTTTCCATTTGAATTATTAATAGCCAGTTTTCACGAAAGCAATTTAATGTTATTAATTATTTTAACATTAATTTAGGATATTAGTGTAAGGTTGCCACGTATTTTCGATTCTGAACAATTAATCTAAAACATCGCAATGAAAGGTATTGTTGAGAACTTTGGTCCGAAAATATTTTCGATCAGGGTTGCACGCTTCTATGTAATACAAATTTCTATTTTGTTAATTTCAATCAGCATTTTTTTATATGTACATTTGTGTACACAGTACATACACGCCCAAGATATGTACTATTCATTCCAGGGTTGCCACCTAAATTTTATAGTAAGAAATTTACTTTATAGATATCAAAATTTAATTTTTTTTTTTAATCTATTTCCAAAATATATTTTTTTAGCTATCCTAATGGCCAGTACTTGATACCCAAAGCTTAAAATTTTAAAAAGCACGTGCAACCTGGTACTTAAGATGTATGTGAGCTAGAGAGAATTTTATAAACAAAAGAAATTTTTTAAAAGAGTTTTTTTTATCACCTCAAATGATAGAAGAGCTTAAGCTTAAAAGGTCTGCATAAAAATTTTTAAAAATTGTATCAAGGAAATCAAAATAATGAGGTTTTTGGAGGTATTTTCAAATCGACCTAGCCAAGGTGATGCACTTTAATGAAAATGTGCATGTCTTTTAGGTCTCAAAATCTGAAAATAAATAATTTTTTTAAACTTTTTTTTTCTAAAAAAATTACCGCGAACGATAGAAAACTTTAAGCTTAAAAGGTCTTCATAAAAATGTTAACAAATTTTACCAACGAAAGCAAAATATTTTCAAATCAGTTTAGCTAGGGTAAATCTTAATACATATTTTTTAGGAAAATCCTCAATTTTTTTGATAATCTGAAAAAAAAAATGTATTTAGTCTCTCCTTCCATTTTTATGATTGTTGCAGTAAGCATTTTAAAATATTTTAAAATACTAATAAAACCTTCTCAAAACAAAATATTATAATTAAATTCGATAAACTCAATTATATATTACTAACCTTTTTTCCACGACAACTAACACAAATGCACATTTCTTCCACTCCCCACAGTTCTCCAGTGTTTTGTGGCTTTCTTGGCTATCGTCCAGTCTATGCCTCATAGAACCGCGTGAGACGAATACCTGCGAGGGACGCCAATCAGCCGGTGCAATATGCGAATCGTGTGAGCTATTATCAATGTGCGTCCGCCATTCTAGCGGCTGGGTAAACATTCCGGTCGAAACGTGTGACACGGATCGGGGTTTCTACTGCAATTCACGACTGGGTATGTGCAGCAATATGACGGGGCCTTGCCATCCATTTGCCGTACAGGGCAATTTTCCATGCACTTCGTATGGTTTCTTTCCCGATCCCTACGATTGTCAGAAATATCACATGTGCTATTTTGCGGGCGCTGCCTTGGTAGCGGCGACTGTGGAATGTGGCGGAGATAAGGCATTCGATGCGGCGACTGGTCAATGTTCGTTAACACTGAATGATCCGGTTTGTTTGAGTCGTCAGATTCGTTGTGAGAATGCTGGGGAAGCGCACGCTTGGCCAAGTAATCCGAATATTTTTTACATTTGCAAGACACTGTGGAATCAGGATGAACGCGTGCTCTATCCTACGCTTTATCGTTGTGCCGATGGCGAAGTGTTCGATGATTACTACTGTCGAAACGTAACTAGGCCAATTGGAATTACAACTACAACTACAATGGCGAGCATTATATCTACGAGTGCCGCACCTGATACGGGTAATCGCACCGTACCGACGCCTACTAATAATGACAGATGCACTGCAGTGGGTTTAAGACCTGATCCGGAAGATTGCGCCGGTTATTATTATTGTTCGGCTTTGAATGGAATTATGCGTCATCGTGTTTGCCCATCTGG